TTTTATACTGTCATATATGATTCCTTTTTCTTACAGCCAATAAAAATCAAAAAACTGATTAAAATCATTCCGATTATACCACTACCAATTCCAATAAACAACTTTTGACTGGAATTTATTGTAACAGTAGGCTGGGATGAAATTGAACTGGCGCTTGCTGAAACAGCAGATTTGGGGCACTGTAAAGCCCCGCACTCGTTGCAAAAGTTATGAAAACCATATTCACAAGTTTTACCGATAGGGCTACATTCATAGACGTGCGAATAGTTGCAACCTGAATAAATCCAAAATTTGAAGGTGACAAAAAGTTCAAGCACAGCAAATACGATATAAATCCATTATTTACCTATATCGCCGCCACAATATTGTCCTTGTTTCAAACCAGTAAGGCACTTACAGGTTGTATTATAGTTACAGTCTGTTGCAACTGTAGAAATAAATGTTAATAGTAAAATAATGTAATAAGATCTTTGCATCATTTTGGAAAGGTAGTTTATTACCAAAGAAATGAGTGGATTTTATATAAAAACATGTATAGATTAAGTTAGATTTCACGTTATTATCATCTAGGTTGGGAAAGAGACGGTGTATATGTACAGTTTTGCCCTGATGGTTAACAGATGAGAAATATATACAAAAGCATATGGAGTTATTAATGAAGTGGTTCGAGGCATCTCGTTGTCATCCATCTTTGTTAAGGTCTAAAGGTTTACCTTAAATAAATGATTACGGATAAACATTTAAGCATTTACATTTATATTAACAGATCTTGAATGAATGAGTTTTCATACTAAATAAATTACAATTCATGATCATCACCGGGTTTACTAAATTTTCCTACTTTCCATTGGACGAATACATATGTCGTTTTCCATTGGATGAAACAAATTTAATCACTGATCAGGATGGCTAAAAATTTCATGTAACCATTTAATGCGCCGCAATTTAAGAATAAATTTTCAGATAATATTTTTACAATGATTACATATTGATTAAAATTTTTTTCTTTTTTTTTTGAATAATTCTTAAAATTAACGGTTTGCTCTTTCAAGTTTTAGCATTTTTAAGTTTTTTTTTTTTTTAGTAACAAAATTTCATGTGAATTATGAAAAAATTTTATCGAATATTATTGTAAAATTTTACTGTATGGTGTAAAATTTTAATTGAAATAAACAAACCTATTTTAAGTCATAATGCTATACAAAAATCCGAAAACAAATTAAGTATTCATTTTTCGTAGGCATATAATTATTTGGCAACATAACAGTAGCATTTATTTTCTGTATTACTCATTAACGGACTAGAACCTATAGCAGTATTATATTTTTCTGAAAGAACATAATACTGATTAACTATGTCCTTTCGGGAAAATGGCTTTTAAGAACTTGAGTTACATTATTGTATTAGTATTAAAACAAATATATTAATTAGCAATTTGTATTAACCCTTGATTTAATTGCAGTATTATATCAGTATCAATAAAATGAACTTTAAACATTTCAAATTTTCAAATCAATTATTTTTTAAACAAAAGTAAAAAATCGCGACCCAGAATATAGTTAATTCGTAATTCGTGATAGAAATTAAAAAATCAATTAGTAAAATTTGGGGGAAGATCATTACTAAAGTTTTTTAATCGAAATCAAACTTCAATAGTTACACAAATACATTATTGTTATATATATATATTATAATCATATAGTTAAATTTCTGACCAGCTACGCTTTAAATTTGTAAAGATTAGTTTATTTTTTTTCTTGACAATTTATGACTTTACTATGGGGCAAGTGTAGATTTCTTTTTTTAAATCTCAATTTTTTTTTAACTTGAGCCAAGTAGAATATCAAATAACTTTATAGTACTGGTCAAAACTATACTTACACAACATGCTTGAAATTCAGATCAAAAAATAGTTTCGCTATAACAGTTTGTTACTACAGTCAGACCCCTAAATGCAACCCCCTCTAAGTGCACGTCCTATGAAAAGCCTCCTTAAATGCACGCCTTCTCTTGGCCCAACTAATATTGCGCTTATAGATTCTTACCTCCCTAAATGCAGTACCTCTCTAAGTGCACATTTGGCTAATTTTACATAAGGTCCGTTGCATTGCATTTAGAGAGGTCTAACTGTATAATTTTTTTAAACATGTAAGTTTTTTTTGTTTGGGATTTTATGATTTTAAATATTGCTGTGTTGTGCAAGCTATCTAAAAATATCTAAAATCGCTAAGGGTGCATAACTTTTTAATTTTAGGTAAGGTTTGCAAAGTTATAATTTTTTTTTTATGAATCTTTGCTTATTTACCAAGTATCAACCGAAAAAGAATTTTCGAACATGCTGCCACACAAATGGTCAGAACACAAGACGTTTAGCTAATACAAATATTTATTCGTGATTTAGATATATAAGTGGCACAGATTTGATGTGACTAGATGGTTCGAATTAGTAATTCTGAAAAACCATCACAGGTTGAATCAATGAATAACGGGTACATATCGGGAGTCAAATCTCCCAATATGTACCCGTTATTCTACCATAGATCCGCCAAATAACTGTAGCATATCAGTAGCATAGTGGTAGCATATAGGTTAGATATCGGAAGGTAGAACGATAACGGTAACATAACAGTAACATACCAGGACATCCCGGTATTTTACTCTTAGTCCAAATAGTGCTAAGAGTAAGATACCAGGATGTCCCGGTATGTTACTGTTATGTTACCATTATCGTTCTACCTCCCGATATCTAACCTATATGCTACCAATATGCTACTGATATGTTACAGTTATTTGGCGGATCTATGGTAGAATAACGGGTACATATCGGGAGATTTGTCTCCCGACACGTATCCGTAATTCATTGATTCAACCTGTGCATGCTAAACTGATTTGTTATACTCTGACGCCAACATGTATAACACCAGATTAATATGGTACGGATTTTAAAATAGGTATTTCATACTCTCGATTTGCAAAAATCCTTATTCTATTCAACTTAGCAATCTTTTTGTTATAATATTTTGACTAGTCTAACCAATGGCATGCAAATCGGCTAATTTAGAGTCTCCAAGAAAAAAAAAAACCACCTATTTACACCACCAAAAGTAGGCGGCGATATTGATTTATACAATTATATAATCATACCTTTATACGTAAGATATTCCAATATTGAATACCGTACCATTCCAAAATTAAGCACCACAAAATTTTGCATAATATCCGAAAATAAGCATCTCCTGGGTATAGTCGTATCGGATTTTTTACAAAGCAAGTCTACTTTCTGTTCTAAATTATTCTCCGGGCCAAGACGATTCTAACGGTGGTAAAATCATAAAAATTGGTCTGGTAGATCATTTGCAATTGTTTCTCAAAGTTCTGGCGGCATTTCGTTTTTTTTTACATGATCTGCAGACCATGTAAGCGAAATATAAACAAACGTCATCCGAACTTTGAAGAGAAATTGTAAACGTTCTACTGGATTATTTTTGACCATTAGAATCGTCTTGGTCCGGAGAATAGCTTTATTTATAAACAGAAGACTTAGTATAAAATCCCCTTACAGCTGTTCTCATAAATTCTGGGACAACTGAAAAATTTTTGATGGCCGAATTCGATAAGTTACAGAATCGGAATCAATAGGTAACTGACTTCGGTCGAACTCAGAACTTATCGAATTCGGTCATCAGAAATCTTTCATTGTCCCAGAATTTATGAGAACAGCTATAAGATGGGCAATTTAGGCACCCATGTATACTAATTATTAAAAATTCTTTATGAAAACGCATAATGTTGGGCATTGTTATGGAATAGAATATAAGCCGGAAATATGTGAGATATTAATACAACTTTTTAAATTTGAATTGTCATTCTCGAAAAAAAAAATCGTAATCTAACTTTCATTTATACTTTATCATTTTTTTTGCTCGATTAATAAGCATATCAAAATTATAGCATTCATACATTATCAAAAACCTATTGAGATGGGTGATTTCGATGGGGTCTGTCAAAATCCTGAAAGTCAAAATCTTGAAATTTAATTGTCGCTCGCGTGATGTCGGGTTCCGGTATTCAAACCCAGCTTATGAGTAATAATAATGATTATTAATCATAAGCGGGGTTTGAGTACTGGAACCCGACATCACATGATGCGACAATTAACTTTCAGGATTTTGACCTAGACCCATTTCGATAGAAGAATTGCACTATTATTAAAATTGAGTTGAAGTTGATGATTATAAGACATTCATTATCTGCAGAGACGGGAAACTCTAATTGGGACGCACAATGTGAAAATATAACTTGATTTAGGCACATTCATGCACTACCAAAAACTTGCAGATACGGGTAATTCTGATAGAGTATCTCAATTGAAAACTGTCGTTAAGTATAATTGATAATTATAAGCATTTATTAAAATTTGCAAAGACAAAAAATGCTAATAGAACAAATAACGTTGGATAGAGTTTTAATTTGAGAAGACATAGCATTTATGCAAGATCAAACGCCCACAGATATGGTTGATTCTGATAGAATATCTGCACCTAGTAAATGTTTATAAGGTAAAAGTTGATGTTGAAAATGATTTTATAAATCTGTAAAGAAAATGAATTTCGTATAGATATAAAATTCGAGTTGAAGATATTAACTATCAAAAATTTGCTGATATGGGTATTCACGCTTGGCAACTGTTATCATTGTGGAGTTAAAGCTAAAAATGATCTGTCTCGACTGCATTCGAATATCCTTTATCCGGTAATTATCTGTTTAATCTGCTCAATAAGTCTATTCAAATAACCATGATTTTAACCAGATATCTGTTTATTTGTAAGTTTATTCAGATAACTTTTATTTAGGTTCTATTCTAATTCCAAACAAGAAAATTTGCTTTTTCTTATTCGAATTTTCTAGGGATTTAACTTAGAAATTTACAAAGCAAAATATGATTAGCAAAGCATATAATTTGTAATTCTTTTGTTACTATTATTAAAGTAAATTTATCTTTATTTTTCGGAATTATTATTAAGGCTAGTGAGCATTTTTTCTGCTATTTCTTTTTTTATGACAATTGAATATCTGGATATCCAATTGCGTATAGTTTCTAGCTTAGGTATTTGTGTACGATCAAGTTCATTATTATCAGCTTTTTTGTTTAATGCACGAAGCATATCCTCTGGTTGATAACGTTGACTAGAATTGGCATTTCCAACATGAAAATATCCTTTTAATAGATCTGCAACTTCTTTTGAAATATGTGCACCTCCTTTTTTTCCGAATTTTTGTTTCCCCTTTATAGCCCATCCTTTTGGTAATGGATATTGTTCTTCAATAGTGCTTAAATGTAAAAAGAAAAGTCTATATATTAATAAATTTATATTGTTTAAATAAATTTTAATAGAATTTTTTTTACTTTGTATATTGAATTGAAGGATTTGGTAAACTAATAGAATTTTGGTTTGGTGGTAACAATTCTAAGTAAAAGAGATGTAATTAAACTGTTAATTTTATTTTTGTTTATTAAAAATAAAAGTAATATTTTTAAATTCTGATGTAGTATGTAAAACTTACCAGAGTTTTTTTCTGCATCCAAGGTTTGTTGTAATAATGTTTTTAATTCTGTTCGGTCACAATTTTCATCAAATAATATATTTCGTTGCATTAATTCATTTCGAATTTCTGATAATCGCATACGTTCTGGATTTAAATGTACTACATAATTGATATTTTTGTAAATATGTTGCTTTTTTTTTTTAAAAAAAAAGGCAATAATAAATATAATACTAGAAGCATCCGGAATTGGAATTCTCCAAGATTCCTTTGGTACAGAATGTGATGTACATGCAGGTTCAGGTTTATTAATTGGTTGTTTGATTAATTAATTTGTGATGGTGAAAAATTTGTCCATTTTCCTACATTAGGTAATTCACGTGCTTGTATATATCCATCATAAATTCCTTCACATGGCCATTGCCAATAATACCATTCAGAAATTCCAGTGAGCGGTTTGACTTTAGTTTCTGTATTCCGATTTGGTTCTAACTGAGCTACTGAGGTTCCACGAATATGAGTAATTGCTGTTTCTATTTTTTCTCCGCTTGTTAAATCATTTCCTAACTGAACAAAATGTCTGATCGCATGTGCAATCTATTAAGAGTTATTAAAATATTTTTTTTAAAAAAAATAATTATAGAATAAAATTACCTGTGCATGGTGAGAGTCTATAGTAGTTTTAGCCTTGCCGGTGTGACTATCGTCACCTGATAATTTTTCACGATATCTCAGCCGATATCCGTATCACTAAACGTTTTTCCTTATT